TAAGGATTCTGCGCTGTGCTCTTGCAGTCATCTTTACAGGACGACCACGCCTAGGGAGAGTAGCAACAGTGCTGAACTTCCTCCATTTGTAGACAGTCTGTCTTACCGTGGACACATGAACATCAAGGCTTTTGGAGATACTTTTGTAACCCTTTCCAGCTTCATGCAAGTCAACAATTCTTGATCGTTGGTCTTCTGAGAGCTCTTTTCTGCGAGGCATGGTTCACATCAGGCTGTGCTTCTTGAAACCAGTAAACCCAAAACTGGTGTGTGTTCTTAAAGGGCAGGACAGCTTTCAGCAACACGTCCAATATAATCACACTGATTGGACTCAAGGTTGGCTGACTCCTGGCTCCAATTAGCTCTTGGAGAAGGCATTAGGCTAGGGGTTCACATACTTTTTCCACCTTGCACTGTGATTGTTTACATGTTGTGTTCAATAAAAACATGACAACATATAATGTTTGTGTAGTATTATTTTAAGCAGACTGTGTTTTTCTATTGTTGTGACTTAGATGAAGATCAGAGCACATTTTATGACCAATTCATGCAAAACTCCACGTAATCCCAAAGGGTTCACATACTTTTTCTTGCAACTGTAGGGTACATGCACAAACCATACAAAGGGCCATGCATCTCCATTGACAATAAATAAAGTGAAACCGTATTCCAGATATGCATTGTCATATTTTCTGTTTCTACTCATTTTAAGTATTGCTTTGCCATCACATTTTGTTTTAACACAACTAGCACCATGAAATTAGGTGCCTCTGTGTTTTACACATTTTATTTATTTAAAATGCTAATGTCATATCATGTGAACAGGAATGTGTGTTCACATTATTTTTGATATTTGTAAAGGTTGCAGTTTCAAAATATACTATATTGCCAAAAGTATTGGGATACCTGCCTTTACACAGACATGAACTTTAATGACATACCATTCTTAATATATAGGCTTTAATATACCCTTTGCACCTATAACAGCTTTGGCTCTTCTGGGATGGCTGTACACAAAGTTTAGGAGAATTTTTGACCATTCTTCCAGGAGAGCATTTGTGAGGTCAGGCACTGATGTTGGATGATAAGGCCTGGCTTGCAGTCTCCACTCTATTTCATCCCAAAGGTGTTCTGTTGGGTTGAGGTCAGGGCTCTGTGCAGGTCAGTCAAGTTCCTCCACACCAGACTCCCTCATTCATGCCCTTATGGACCTTGCTTTGTGCACTGGTGCGCAGTAATGTTGGAATAGGTAGGGACCTTCCCCAAACTGTTCCCACTAAGTTTGGAGCATGAAATTGTCCAAAATGGCTTTGAATGGTGCAGAATTAAGAGTTCCTTTTACTGGAACTAAGGGGCCAAGCTCAACCACTGAAAAACAACCTCACATCATAATCCCCTTTACACTAGGCACAATGCAGTCAGGCATGCTCTGGAGTCAAGTGGTGGCGTGCTTTAAACCACTTCATCCGACACTTTGCATTGCACTTGTTGATGTAAGGCTTGGAAGCAGCTGCTCGGCTATGGAAACCTATTCCATGAAGTTCTCTCCACACTGATCTTCAGCTAATCTGAAGGCCACACAAAGTTTGGAGGTCTGTAGCTATTGACTCTGCAGACAGTTGGAGACTTCTGCACACTGTTTGCCTCAGCATGCGCTGTCCCCGCTCTGTGATTTTACGTGGAGTTGCTGTTGTTTCCAATTGCTTCCACTTTGTTATAATACCACAAACAGTTGACCGTGGAAAATTTAGTAGCGAGGAAATTTCACAAATGACTTATTGCACAGGTGGCATCCTATCATGGTACCACACTTGAATTCACTGATCTCCAGAGCGACCCATTCTTTCGCAAATGTTTGTAGAAGCAGTCTACAGGCCTAGATGCTTGATTTGTATACGCCCGTTGCTATGGAATTCAATTATTTGGAGGTGTGTCCCAATACTTCTGCCAGTATAGTCTAGGTATGCCTCCACCTCAAGCCCCCACACAGTTCTGTTTTTGTTTTCTTGACCCGTACCCTCCTGCAATTTCTTAACAGTTTGAATACCTGTGTCTGCAAGTCTGTTATGATGTTCTCCAATATTTATCAATATAATATTAAAATTATGAATTTACTAAAGTAATTTGATGAAAATTATGTCTTCAACCAACACCCCCAATCTAATCTCACTGACTTCAGTGCTTTTTGAGAAGTCATTAGCCAGGAGATTCATATACTTTTCCTGATCTAGACTGAATGTTATCAGAATGTATTCAGTATTTACAAAAAGTAGTACAATTATTTCTTAGTACATTTTGCAGATTGGATTTGTTATTATGACTTATGTGATCAGATCAACACCATTTACAGAAAATCCTCTACATATGAACCTTCAAGATGCAAGATTCAAAAATGCGAACATGTCCAATAAATATAAAATTGTTTATATAATTGCAAAATTAAAAATTGTGCCAGAATTTCAAATTTTGTGGCAGCGCATAAGCTATTTCCTCTCTCTGATGCTTGACTGAGTCAAATGTGCATACATGCTCTTGATACAGTAACGTAGGCTCGCTTGCGAGCGGTAAGTGAGAGAAAACAATGGAGAAAAAAAGAACTCAATTGTTATTGTTTGTTAAAATGCACCTGAAATCAGTAACAAAAATAGATATTAACTTTTAAAATCATTTTCTTATGTAAATGTTTTCAATAGGAGTTGAGGAGAAGTAGGCTAGGTGTGCATATGTTGTGTAGGCTAGCTCAGCAAGGTCAGCTGATGGAAAAACAATGGAAATAAAAAATGATTCTCAGTGGCTTCTTGTTAAAATACACCATAAATCTAAAACAAAAAATACAAATATTAACGTTTAAAAGCATTTTCGAATGTACAAATAGTTGTACATAAGGGGTTCAGGGTTGGAGCATCATTAGCTGGATGCCTAGGCTGACTGTTGGACTTGCGTACTTTTGGCCTTGTGAACCCGCTCTCTGAACAGAACTGGGGGGTATTCCATGAAGCAGGATTAAGGGAAAGTCTGGCTTATTTCGTTAAGTCTGTCTTATTTAAGTGAGAGTTCTGTTCCATCAACGTGTCTTAAATGAATCCCCGCTGAGCTGCCATGGTAACTTGCACCTCCGAACAAGTCTGCTCGGGACCAGGCTAACTGTCTCGCTTAGTTTAGCGTTGTCTCAAAGAACGTCCGCCGTGTGGGAACAGATTCCCAAAAGATCGTTCCGTCGGACGACATTCTGCGATTTTACTATTCATGTCATGTAATCTGTTGAATTATATGTCATCTGACATTATATTTTACATTATCTGATTGATTTTTTTGTTAATTTGTAAGGTGTACCAAAATGACATGATTTTGTTTGAGTTGGCGGGATAATGAGTCTTGTATATACGTATATAAAAAAATGGAAGCTTGTAGTCAGTGCTGTGAGTAAAAGCAAGACGAGAAAGCAGAGAATAAAAACCATCTTTTCTGAAGTAAAGCTCTGCGTGATACTTTCATAATATGGAGAACAGAGCTGAGATTGCTACATAATCAATATAATAAAGCCTATAAAATCACGTCTTAGCATTCCAATTAATTCCAAAATACTTACAGTAAAATCCCGTTATAGTGGACTCGCTTATAACGGAATTTCGCTTATAATGGACAAACAATTTCGTCTCCAGGGCCGCTTTTAGATGTGGTTCTGTTCGGCTATAACAGACATGCAGTTCTGCCTACAAGGCGTGTGGCGTGCCGGTGATATCCAGCGCAGATACGTACGTAGTCGGGATTATTAATAGTCACGTATCTGGTTAGGTAAAGTTGGATTACTACATGTACAATATAATAATCTATACCACAAGTGTGTCTGCTGGGGTGTGGCATGAGTAAATGATGTCGTGTAGTTGTGTTCTGGGCATACAGCAACTCTGGATATAACGGACTGTTAATTGCCAGGTCCCTTGAAGTCCGTTATAACGGTATTTTACTGTAAAATAAAAGCGTACGCTTTTACAAAGGTCAAACATGAAATGCAATGACTGAAATTTAAAGAAAATCTGTTAAAATAATATGAACAGGAAGATATTTTTATATTTTGTTTAGTCACAGTCTACTTTGAAAGTTTATAAGTGAAAAGCAAAGACAAGATACGGTTATTTGTGCAGAACATTTCACACGGATGTGACTGAAAGTATTTTACGGAGATCAAATAATATTATACAATAACAATGACACGGGAACTCAACCCAGCTGGTTATGGGAATCGAACCAGCAACTTTCACGTTATAAGGCGACAGCATAAACCACTGTACTACCATGCCAAGCACTTACAACATATACGTAACTTGTACATTTAATCTGTCTGTAATGCATTGCCAAGCCAACACTCTGGCTATGTTTATGGCCACAGTATTGCCTTTTTTAACAATTACATCTTTGTGTTTTTCATACAGCTCCATCAGCAGCGTTTGTTCTGCAGCGGAAAGAAACGCCGATCTCGTTTTAAACACTTTCCGACTCATTTGGTCGATCTATCGTTCATCCATTCATTTGGGCTTCTTAAATATCACGGGTGTGCGCACTAAGTGAGACTATGCAAGTCTGCCTTGAATAAGCCTCGATTAGTTAAAACTGAACTGCGTTCGTGGAACGACAGGCTAAGTTTAGAGATAGAGCTAATTTGAGTCTCACTTTTTCGCGTAAGTCTGGCTTTATTTAGCTACTTTCATGGAATACCCCCCTGGTTCGTATCTTGGAGACTTACTGTATTATGATTGATTAAACCAATTAATTCTGAAGGGTTCACAAACTTTCTTTTGCAACTGTAAATGAATGGGTTATACCACAAGATGGAGCTGTACTGTATAAAAGTCATAAACAAACAAAGTCAGTTTCTTCAAAATGTTCTTCAGGAACAGCTATAAACAATCAACAACAGATACTGTAACTGTCTTTTGAGATATTCACATTAATATGGTTAATAAACATGGTTTGTGTCCATGATAGGAAGAGAAGAGGAAGACTACAGAGAAGGAGAGGAGACCCAGACCACCTGATTCTCAGTGCTCAGAGTCAGCTGAACAACACACGCTTTCGGCTGCTGATAGAGAACAATCACAGACAGCATACAGCCCATTTCGGGGAAGTCTAGAGGTACTGTCAAGCAATGGCTATTAATGACCACAGACAGTGTGCAGCCCATTCTGAGGAAGCAAGGTCAATTTGTTGATGGATACACTCTAATTAACAGTGGTGTGCAATTATCAAATAGCATTCAAATGTTGCTTCACTTCTATAAAGGGGCCCAGTGAGCGCCATGAACACACCCTGCCAACACCAGTCTGCCTGGTCTGGCACATGACATAAAGTCTGACACATGACATGAACACGATGCATGAACTCAGGTGGTTTTCTCCACACCCTTATCCACTTATCAGCTAATAATAGTATATGGGGAATCATCATACCAGGCCATGTTTTTGTTTGTGTAGATGCTGATTGGTTGCCATCCCTGTTGTGTCAGTATGCAATGAGTTGTGCATTCTTCTATGACTCTTTTAAAACTTTCATTACACTGAATAGCCAGTTAACTAATATCACCAGTTAAACCACAAAATTAATGTTTCTGCTGTTTTTAAACTTAAAAAAAAATCTTTTAATTCTTTTTCTTTGTCACCTCAAAGACACCTACACTGATGCAATTGATTAATAATTAAATGCTTTACCTAGGTATATAAGGTTGGACTATTCCAAGGAAAGGCCAGACATCCCTATTATATTAAATGAAGGAAGCTACTCAGGAAGTTGATGATAAGAAGGCCTATGATGTCATCTATTTAGATTTCCAAAAGGCTTTTGATGTTGTTCCCCACAAGAGGCTCTCACTTAAACTCAAAGCGACAGGTATTTTAGGAACTGTAGCGACTTGGATTGATAACTGGTTAACAGATAGGAAGCAGCGAGTTTAAATTTAACAAAGACAAATGTAAGGTACTCCATGTAGGGAGCAGAAATATAAAGTACAGGTATTTTATGGGACCTACTGAAATAAAGGTAGCTGATTATGAGAAAGACCTTGGTGTGTATGTTGATGCTTCCATGTCTCATTCTCGCCAGTGCGGGGAAGCAATAAAAAAGGCCAATAGGATGTTGGGGTATATCTCCAGATGTGTGGAGTTTAAGTCAAGGGAGGTAATGCTAAGATTATACAATTCCTTGGTGAGACCTCACCTAGAATATTGTGTACAGGTTTGGTCACCATATCTTAAAAAGGACATAGCGGCCTTAGAAAAGGTGCAGCGTAGGGCCACAAGAATGATTCCTGGTCTTAGAGGAATGTCATACGAGGAAAGGTTATTTGAGCTAAATCTGTTCAGCCTCAAGCAAAGGAGACTGAGGGGGGACATGATCCAGGTCTATAAGATTCTAACAGGTTTGGATGCTGTTCAACCGAATAGTTACTTCAGCATTAGTTCAAATACAAGAACTCGTGGCCATAGGTGGAAATTAGCGGGAGAACATTTCAAACTGGATTTAAGGAAGCACTTCTTTACACAGCGTGTAGTCAGAGTATGGAATAGTCTTCCTGATAACGTAGTGCAAGCTGAATCCTTGGGTTCCTTTAAATCAGAGCTAGATAAGATTTTAACAACTCTGAGCTATTAGTTAAGTTCTCCCCAAGCGAGCTCGATGGGCCGAATGGCCTCCTCTCGTTTGTATATTTCTTATGTTCTTATGTTCTTAACTTGGAATGCCTGTTGACTCAGTATGAATCTGTAATCACACTAAAATTGAAAATTCTATGTATGTTATTTCCTAAGTGTCTTCCACTCTCCCTGCATCCAACATTTGACCTCCGGGCTCATGTGGAGTCCCTGGGTCATGGTGTAGCTGAGTGCCTGGGGGTCTACCTATCTCCACGGCGCTGTGTAGGCTTTCTGACCAAGTGTGGGGGCAGAGTTAAGACCTGGAAGAGGAGATGGTTCCTTTTTGATCTGGATCATCGGAGACTAGCCTACTACACAGGTTTTTAATTTATTTTCTCAATTTTTGATGTCAGACATTACATTGTGGTGGTTAGTTCAGCAAAATTGCTAAACATGTAATATTAATCCGTGTTTTCTTCTGTCTGCTCAGATCACGATGAGAGGAAGCTGAAGGGTGTGATCTACTTCCAGGCCATAGAGGAGGTGTATTATGACCATTTGCGCACAGCATCTTCTGTGAGTGTTCCCTCACAGATATAATATGACATATCAATGTATCTTTCTACAGTGCTTCAAATGGGCAGTCTCATACTGCAAGGGAGTAAAATAACCTATCCAGAAGGTTTTCTTTTTTTCTTTTTCTGCAATTTTCCAGTGATGTGACACTGCCCTGTTATTATTTTGGAAAAAATTATTTTGACAATTGATAAATCATGTGTTCATGTAACCAAGTAATTGATTAGTTGGGCCAAAACACAGGGTTTAAAAAAGTGAAAACGCTTTATTTAAAAAACATCAAGATGTATTTATGCCACATTTGTAATAAAAACTTTACCCAATGTTGAGAAACTCTATTTAAAGTGACTAAGTGGCATAGAAACAAAGATCAAAGCTTGATCAAGTTTAAACATAATATCGATCGCTATCCTTCACTGATGAACCAGCTGTCTCCACCATATTTAGCTTATTAATGGTTGTACTTAACAGACCATTTCTATTACAAACCTCGGATAACCCTCTCTTTTGCTCTGCCAATCTAATCCATAATCGTCCCACACTCACCAATCTGTACAATTTCTAGAAGTACACACTAATAGTATATATGGAGGTCTGGAAGGGCCGCAGACTGTTTGTGTGTGTGTGTGTGTGTGTGTGTGTGTGAGTGAGAGAGAGAGAGCTCAAGACCATGCACTTGGAAAATACAAAACAAATCACATCCCATATTGGATCAAAATGGGACATGGGATTTTATTTTTCAATACATGGTGATCACACAATATATACGTGATGGGTACAAACACTAATCCTCAGGTTCTCCAGCAGACTTAATTGTATGCCTGTACTGATATGTTCCTTTTACACAATAAAAAGCTGAGTGACGTTCTTATTAACAGTCAATTCACAGGATTGGATTACATGGGATTAATAAATATCCAGACATATTTACAATTAATATAAATGACATTAAGACATACAAAGAAATAAAGTTAACAAACTTATTGGTTGGGAACAATTGTGCATATAAGTGGAATGTGCAATAAATTAATTGATGCAGTTACAGAGTAACACATCACAACTCAGAACATTTGGGTAAAAACATTTATTGACTTTCACATTTCCAGTTGATCCATCCAGTAATTCTGTAAATTATAGAATTTGGGGAATGTGGGAGGAGTACAAATTAGATGGGTAGAGTGGGAGATAGGACTCTTCCCCCACATGCAATGCTCTTCCCCGACAGCCCCTTTTCTACTTAGGTTTAATGGTTTTCCTGGCATTTGAAACAAAGTTTAACTTTTATGTTATGTTTTTGTGGCAGTATTGACAGTTAATGTTTCATGAGAATATTATGATTCCATTCACATTGACTTGGGTCCCGTACTATTGTTTGTTGCTCAGTCTCCCCGACCCAGCCTGACTTTCTGCGTGAAGACCTATGAGCGCCTCTTCTTCCTGGTGGCTCCGAACCCGGAGGCTATGAGGATCTGGATGGATGTCATTGTCACAGCCACAGACGAGCACTGCCGTTACACAAGCTGTGGAACTCTCTGAGCAGCATGCAGGACCATCCCTGTTTATGGAATGTCATTCTCTGAGAGGGAAGCATTTTGACTCTTGTTGGAGCTTTGGCAAAATTGGGTGTGTATGGATAGGGGATGTAATGAAGAGTATAAGAATTGAATGAGAAGATACAAATTATTTATTCATTGAATTCGGCTAGTTAAGACAAACTTCTGAGCCTAAATCTTTCATTGTTGGTGACAGTGCCTCTTTACATAGAATACACAGCAACTTGGACAAATTTGCTTATACTTCTTTTGTAAGTCAAATGTCTTATTGTCATGTGAAGCACAGTATTTTTAAAATATCAATACCAGTTACATACTGATGAATCATTTTAACCGCCCCCATGTGAAGTGATTTTTAATTCCTCCATTGGCATGGGGAGAATATGCAAACTTCACACCCATGGAACCCTGGCCAAGACTCAAACCCAGGTTCCAGAGGTGTGAGGTGACAGTGCTAACCCCTGCACCACTGTGTCACCTCCGTGAGTTTTAATTATTCAATGAAAACTTTACCTGTCATGGCCTGGGATATATTAGAGAGTAAGCTAACATTCAGTACTAATAGATGACATGCAGAAGAAATGGGCTTGGATAAAGATCTGAGTGACTTTGAACGGCCAAATCATTATGGCCAAATGACTAGGTCAAAACATCTCCGAAATGGTCAGGTTTGTAGGATGCTCATGTTCAGCCATGGTGTATACCTACTGAAAGTGGCCTGAGGAGTGAATAACTATGAACCACCGGCAGGGTGCTTGTCAATGCGAGTTGTGAAGAAACGCTATCCCGTCTGGTACAAACGGCAAACAATTTTCACAGGATTAGCTGGAGGCCAGACACAATATCCATTCCAACCCCTGTCTTCCGGTGAAAGTACCTACAATGGACAGGCTAGCATCAGAACTGGAACCATGGACCTTTGGAAGCAAGTCTCCTGGTCCAATGAATCCCGTTTTCCTGTTGCATCATGTGGACATGTGAAGCAGCTGTGGGATTGGACCACTAAGTCCCATCCACAGCCACACAGTCCGATAAACAGCAGGGTCCTACATTACAACAATACGAAAAGTTTCGGCTGCCCAACAACCTGTCGGCGATTCATGGTTTTACCTTCCTCAGATTGCTTTCAGTATGTATTCACCACAGCTGACCGTGAGCATTCCACAAGCCTTGCCATTTCTTAGACCTTGAAACGTGCCATTTTTACGCAATAGTCAGTATTGTTCAGTTCGTGCGGGAGTGGTCATAATGTTTTGGCTCATTGGGGTATATGTTATTACAGTGGTACCTCAGAACTCAAATGTAATCCGTTCAGATCTCCGGATCGAATCCAAAAAGTTCGAGTTGTGATTGAATTTTCCCCATAAGAAATAATGGAAAACCAATTAATTGGTTCCCGGCCCCAAAAAATTACACCGAAATATGTTTTTTTTTTTTTTTTTTAAGCATTTAAACACAAAATGAACCGGATAAAACAAGAAGAGCATATACTGTACTAAACACATCCAAGCACATTTATCAAAACAGTCATTTGTAAAGTAAGAAAATAAATGTATCCAAATAATGTGTTCTGCCCACGCCCACTCGTTAACCCCGCGTGTAATCCCCGTGTGATCAGCTGTTTCTAGTTGTTTTCATTAGCCCTCTGTATTTCGTACGCGTTTCAGGTTGTTTCCACAGTCCGGTCATTGTATTGTCCGTGTGCAGTTTGCCTGCCTTACCGTATTCCCCGATACCCTGACGTCTGCGCCTTTGTCTCCGTTCCATCCCCGCTCGGCACAAGAATATTATTATAATTAAACGTATTAATGGTTTATTATTAATATTAAAATAATGAATAAGAAATCTTTATTTTTAAATGTATTTTATTATATAATAATAATTACTGTTACTGTCTATCATTGTCTAAATGTATTTTTACTGTCTAAATATATGTATTCAGTTAGTGTAAACATGCACGGTGCTATCACAGCTAATGCTAGGCTGAGACAGAAGCTTTACCCTTTGTTTCCGCTGAGAGACGTGCCGCGTGACTCATTTCCCTGCGTGTACAAGTTATCTTCACAGTTTGACTTCTGAGATTCAGATCGAGCTCTAGGTAATTTTTTTTCGAACTGGTTGGTTCGACTTTTAAGAAATTTCAGTTCTAATGAGTTAGAGAACTGAGGTACCACTGTATTGCTGTTTACATTTCAGATAAAATCTGTTGTCATGTGTGTTTAATATCTTTCCAAATGTTTCCTTTTAATGAGACATTTTTGTTCTTCATGTAAATTTGATTTTAAAAGCTTCCACAATTACTTGCACCCTCTTTTAATAGCTGTTTTGTACATTACTACATAGCTAAGCGTGTTGTAATTATCATTAGTGAATGCAATATGAGTGCACCGTGTGACCATTCTAAGTGTCTAGGTTGTCATGTATCCTTTTGCATTATCTATCTGAACTCATTCTGTGCTTCTGCAAAGAAGAAACATTGAAAAAGTAAAAGAATCTATTTTGGATTGAACTCCACTGATAATTTAAGCCTATGATTGCAATGTTATGCTTAGAATCGAATATTCTGCTGTCTATACCAAGTAAAAATGTTATGGTTGGCCTTCTTTTGTCAATGAAGTTTGTGAATTCTGCAAGGAGTACACTTAACCTTGTTTTTTATGAATCAGGACACCAATCCATTGAATCTGAGACCACATCATAGTGTTTTAGAAAAGCAATGAGAATAGTAAAATCTTCAAAATAGAATAGATGATGGTTGCAAAACAAAACTGCTAGTATACTGGAAACAACAGAAGAGTAATAAGTGGTGTACATTTCTTTTTTCTCTGGTGTTTCTTGAATATCCCATTGTTGAAAAAGTGATGATTTGATTTCCTGGAGCTATTATTGTGAATAAAATGTTATTGAAGATACCTGCTTTTAATTTTGTTTTATATTATAGTAATTTTTAAGATTTTAAGAGAGAGAGGTGCCTTTGCTCTAAAATCACAATCCCTGTGGGGAAATTCTCTTTTCACCTGTTCCATCTTGCTATCCATGATACACAGACACATATATAGGTGAAAGCAAGCTTGGCAGCAAAGGGCAGCCACCTGCAGTGGTGCCCCTGGAGCTCGGGGTTAAGGGCCTTGCTCAATGGCCCACAAACATGACTACTTTGCAGAAGCTGGGCTTCCTTGTCAAGTGCAGAGGAAGAGAACACAGAATCCAAACTGTGATGATGAGAAGCTCTATCAACATCTGTCATTTCTATCAGATGGAATGGTAGTCATTGCTGATGAATCAGCCCATGTCTGCTCACATAGTCCAAGTAGAGTAATGAAGGACCTTGTTACAGGGTTGTCAACACTTATGCATCCGGCATGACACTAATGCTTTCAGACTTTCATGCTCACACAATAAATCTTATGACAAAGCTTCTTTATTCATTTATAAACCTAAAATGATCTGAATCAAACGTTGGGGTTGTTTGCAAACCCTACAGGTAATATATCTGTTATATACACTGACCTAAAGGATTATTAGGAACACCTGTTCAATTCCTAATTAATGCAATTATCTAATCAACCAATCACATGGCAGTTGCTTCAATGCATTTAGGTGGTGTGGTCCTGGTCAAGACAATCTCCTGAACTCCAAACTGAATGTCAGAATGGGAAAGAAAGGTGATTTAACCAATTTTGAGCGTGGCATGGTTGTTGGTGCCAGACAGGCCGGTCTGAGTATTTCACAATCTGCTCAGTTACTGGGATTTTCACGCACAACCATTTCTAGGGTTTACAAAGAATGGTTTGCAAAGGGAAAAACATCCAGTATGCGGCAGTCCTGTGGGCGAAAATGCCTTGTTGATGCTAGAGGAGAATGGGCCGCCTGATTCAAGCTGATGGAAGAGCAACTTTGACTGAAATAACCAC